TAATATAATGTACCTAATATAGCTTCATCTAGTCTGATATAACCGCATCTGACTTAATTAAATACAACCTAATATAATTTAACCTAACCAAATTTGGTCTACTTTAGTCTAACCTAACTTAACAGTCTATTATAACCTAACCACATCTGACTTAATTTATCCTAACCTCATTAGACTTAATTAAATCCAACCTAACCTAATCTAATCTATGTCTAATATAATTTAACCTAACCTAACATGGTCTACTTTAGTCTAACCTATCTTAACAATCTAATATAACCTAACCACATCTGACTTAATTTATGCTAACCTCATTAGACTTAATTAAATACAAACTAACCTAATCTAATCTATGTCTAATATAATTTAACCTAACCTAAGATGGTCTACTTTAGTCTAACCTAACTTAACAGTCTGATATAACCTAACCACATCTGACTTAATTTATCCTAACCTCATTAGACTTAATTAAATACAAACTAACCTAATCTAATCTATGTATAATATAATTTAACCTAACCTAATTTGGTCTACTTTAGTCTAACCTAACTTAACAGTCTATTATAACCTAACCACATCTGACTTAATTTATCCTAACCTCATTAGACTTAATCAAATACAAACTAACCTAATCTAATCTACGTATAATATAATTTACCCTTACCTTGATCTACTTTAACCTAACTTAACAGTACTACTTTTGTAATAAGTCCCCTTTGAAAATTTCATTATCTAATTTTCTAAACCATACGTAAATGTAAAATAAACTTGTTCAGACAATATTGTAAACTACCTTCGTTACGATTTCTATCGTAATCGCGTTAAATCCTTGAATTTATCAGTGCATTCTCCGTGAATTACGTAGGCACCGAGTTAATTGACGTCTGGCTGTCCTTTATCGAGTTTTCCAACGGATGAATGATACCAGCTTGTTTTCGCAATTAACAAGTATCCCGGTGTAGCTTGGGTCATGTGTGATCACGTTTACGCAACAGCGCGAGGAGGTTAGGGAGAAAGAGCGACGGCAGGAAAGGAAGGGTAATTATTTCGAATTCAGTGCGTTCGAATAGGAAGGCACGTCCGATTGATTATTATCGAATCGTACAAACGAGGCTGCTTGATCGAATCCGTTCACCCATTCCGATTTTTCTCATTTCTCACATTTTCGCGACAATTATTGACAATTGGAAATAATTTTACGTTAATTCTTTTTTTTGTGATTTTATTTTACATTCAAATTGCAATGGTGAGGAGTTTCCTTTACTTGGAGTCGCTCGAGCAAACGATCAAATTATCCAACTACAAATTTATCCAATTAAACCTAGCGTCCAACTAAATGAAAACAAGGCTTTCGAGCGTACTCTGCGGCTCGTTACGTGTTCCAGCGATTACCGCGTGTCAACGAGGAAGCACGCGTAGAAAGCGTGTCAGTGGACGCCGCCAGTTGTCACGTAAATCGCAGCCATGTCGTTTCCTCGTTCATTCTACGCTGCATATCATTTCACTTTGGCAAAACGCAATTGGCAATCGTGTCACCTCTCCTTTCTTTCATAATTCATCTTTTGTTACATCAAGACTTAGTATTATATGAAGATTTTGTGTTACGTCAAGATTTTGTAATGATACTTCATTCACATGCAGCAGATTGTAATTAAAAATGAGTAACTGTTATTTGAACATTGTTAGTGAAAATGCAAGATAGGTTAGGATTGATGACTATTATTAAGTAATTAATTACATGATGGTTTAGTATGAAAACATCAGGAGAAAGCTAGTGACAACTTTGTGTCTGCATGTGGCATAAGACGTTAGGTTACACATGTGATAATACAGCCATTAACCAAATGTTAGGACATCGAGCTACATATGTGATGCTACAGCCATCAAGCAATTGTCAAACTTGATGTCGATGTTGAACTAAAATTTAATCGCTAAAGCAACAAGTTTTAAGGACTAGATGAAATAGGACCACTAGATGAAATAGAAACAGTAGGCTGGAGTCATCAACCAATCGTTATAATTTGTTAGCTCAATGACAACTTTATACTTGTATGAATGTGTCATAAGATATGAAGCTACACATGTGACGCTACAGCCATTAACCAAATGTTAGGACATTTAGCTACATATGTGATGCTACAGCCATCAAGCGATTGTCAAACTTGATGTCGATGTTGAACTAAAATTTAATCGCTAAAGCAACAAGTTTTAAGGACTAGATGAGATAGGATCACTAGATGAAGTAGAAACACTAGGCTGGAGTCATCAACCAATCGTTATAAATTGTTAGCTCAATGACAACTTTATACCTGTATGGATGTGGCATAAGATATGAAGCTACACATGTGACGCTACAGCCATTAACCAAATGTTAGGACATCTAGCTACATATGTGATGCTACAGCCATCAAGCAATTGTCAAACTTGATGTCGATGTTGAACTAAAACTTAATAGCCAGAAGAACAAATTGTAAATCCTAGATAATGAAACAGAACTAGATACAGTACCATAGATGAGATAGGTTCACTATCCACACTAGGTTCACTGTCCACACTAGCTCCACATAACAATCCAACCCAACAGTCAAACCATAGACATCACATGAGCCACCTCACCCACCAAAAACGTCCATCCAAATAAAATCTCGCCATCAAATGACTAACATATCAACTGGAGCCCCTAACTCTAATTACTGAGTGATTAGAGCACCACTAGTAGAATGAAAGTGGATTCATAGTCATTGGATCGACACGAGCATACATCGATCAAGTACTCGAGGCTTAACGAGTACAGGGGTACATCCAGGGACGCAGCCCAGTGTTCGTTGGCCTTTACGATGTCACGGCAATTGTAAAATAAAGAATCAATTGAGAAACGAAGCGTGTCTATGGGAGCGAGAGCCCTTAAGGCCAGTACGGTTGGTTGAACAGAATCCCCTTTTGCCAACCTAACAAGACCAACTCTACGCGAACCTGAACACGGCGCGACCCTTCCTCGTTCGTCGCAAGATGCTTCCGGCAAGTGCAGTCGGGGGAAACGGGGAGGGGGGATCGTTCGGTAATGGCCTCCTATGTATTTCCCTTTTAGCTCTTTATTGTGTGGAAGGTTCATGAGAAAATAGTTAAAATTTGTTCTTTATAATTTTTCGATGTTTCAATTTTTCGATTTTTCAATTTTTCAATTTTTCAATTTTTCAATTTTTCAATTTTTCAATTTTTCACTTTTCTCATTTCCCAAATTTCCAGTTGTCGAATTTTCCAATTTCCCACTCTCGCAACATCCCACTTTCCCAATTTCCCACTCTCCCATATTTCCCACACTTCAAATTTCCCATTCTCCCAATTTCCCACTCTCCCATATTTCCCACACTTCCAATTTCCCATTTTCCCAATTTCCCACACTTCCAGTTTTCCACTCTCCCATATTTCCCACACTTCCAATTTCCCATTTTCCCAATTTCCCACACTTCCAGTTTTCCACTCTCCCATATTTCCCACACTTCCAATTTCCCATTTTCCCAATTTCCCACACTTCCAGTTTTCCACTCTCCCATATTTCCCACACTTCCAATTTCCCATTTTCCCAATTTCCCACACTTCCAGTTTTCCACTCTCCCATATTTCCCACACTTCCAATTTCCCATTTTCCCAATTTCCCACACTTCCAGTTTTCCACTCTCCCATATTTCCCACACTTCCAATTTCCCATTTTCCCAATTTCCCACACTTCCAGTTTTCCACTCTCCCATATTTCCCACACTTCCAATTTCCCATTTTCCCAATTTCCCACACTTCCAGTTTTCCACTCTCCCATATTTCCCACACTTCCAATTTCCCATTTTCCCAATTTCCCACACTTCCAGTTTTCCACTCTCCCATATTTCCCACACTTCCAATTTCCCATTTTCCCAATTTCCCACACTTCCAGTTTTCCACTCTCCCATATTTCCCACACTTCCGATCTCCCATTTTCCCAATTTCCCACTCTCCCATATTTCCAACACTACCAATTTCCCACTTTCCCAATTTCCCACTCTCCCATATTTCCAACACTACCAATTTCCCATTTTCCCAATATCCCACTCTCCTATATTTCCCACACTTCCAATTTCCCATTTTCCCAATTTCCCACACTTCCAGTTTTCCACTCTCCCATATTTCCCACACTTCCGATCTCCCATTTTCCCAATTTCCCGCTCTCCCATATTTCCCACGCTTCTAATTTCCCAAGGTCCCAATTTCCTAAGGTCCCAATCTCCCAAGGTCCGAATTTCTCAAGGTCCCAATTTCCCAAAGTCCCAATTTCCCAAAGTCCCAATTTCCCAAGGTCCCAATTTCCCAAAGTCCCAATTTTCCAATGTCCTAATTTCCCAAGGTCCCAATTTCCCATTTTCCTGATTTTCCAAATTTCCAACTTCCCTTTTTCCAATTTCCCATTTCCCTAATTTCCCATCGCCCAATTTCCCATCTCCCAATTTCCCATTTCCCCAATTTTCCCAAATTTTCTCCGCTTACCACATTTCCTCCCATTGTTCACAACAGTCCAAAACATATCACCTTCACAAAGTGAAAATGGTTTAAAACCAATACAAAAAAGCACCTATGAATCAATTTCCCTAATCCTCCATTTTGTTCAGAAGTTCATTGACCTCTGCATCTCAGGTGTCGCCACCTGCGATTCTATCAAAAACAATTAAAATTCAACAAACGTTAAACATCAAAGTATATATCCTTATCAATATATCTGGCACCAGCTTGACATTGAATTTTATTTAAACAATTTACCATGTCAGCACCGACGCGTTAATTTATCAAGCTTTATTGGAAAATGTCAGCTTCACGGGAATTAACCTTTAAGCAGTATTATAGATACCGCGGGTGCCAGTTCAAGCAGATAAATCGTCCCTTCCGCTTCGCTGAGAGTTCCATAAATTAACATAACAATGGAGAACAATTAACCACAGTGGATTAAACTATTGTTCGTTTCTTTCGTTTTGCAGAGCGAAGACAGACTACCGAGTCTTCCGGTTCCGGATCTGGAGACGACGATGCAAAAGTACCTGACCCAGGTTGAGGTGGTCGCTCCGGATCATTTGGAGAAGAATAGGACCTTGGTCAGGGCTTTTCTGTCTGGTCCTGGTCCTAAGCTTCAGCAACGACTTCTGGAACGCAAACAGAAGGTGAACAACTGGGTGAGTACGAGAAATTATGTGGTGTGATGTTATTGAGATGGCGTGGAAAATGGTAGGTCGGTTTAGGGGTGTGATTGCGGAGGGAGTGGAGCAATGCTGGAGGTATGATGGTTTATGTGTGTGGAGGGGGATGGAAAATTGGGAAATTGGGAAATTGGGGAAATGGGAAACTGGGGAAATTGGGAAATTGAGAAATTGGGAAATTGGGGCTTTAGAAAATTGGAACCTTGGGAAATTGGGGCTTTAGAAAATTGGAAATTTGGGAAATTAGAGCCTTGGGAAATTGGGAAATTGGGGAATGGGAAATTGGGAAATTGGGAAATTGGGAAATTGGGAAATTGGGAAATTGGGAAATTGGGAAATTGGGAAATTGGGAAATTGGGAAATTGGGAAATTGGGAAATTGGGAAATTGGGAAATTGGGAAATTGGGAAATTGGGAAATTGGGACTTTAGAAAATTGGAAATTTGGGAAATTAGAGCCTTGGGAAATTGGGAAATTGGGGAATGGGAAATTGGGAAATTGGGAAATTGGGAAATTGGGAAATTGGGAAATTGGGAAATTGGGAACTTGGGAAATGGGGGCTTTAGAAAATTGGTAATTTAGGAAATTGGGGCTTTAGAAAATTGGTAATTTGGGAAATTGGAGCCTTGGGAAATTGGGAAATTGAAGAAATAGTAAAATTAAAAAATAGATAAATTGGGGAATTGAGGAATTAGGACATTGGAAAATGAACAAAATTTGTAAAAATTAGGAAACGTGAGAAATTTGTAAAATAGGAAAAAACTGAGAAATAAAGGAAAATGGAAAAATGGAAAAATTGTTAGAATATGGAAATATCGAACGTACAATATACATAGAACACAATATACATAATATGAAATCGCACCGCGAAAATGTGAAATATTCGCGGAATAAGAGCGTGAAATAATAGAGGCAACGGTAATAGGCAAAAGGGAAAAAGAGGGGTTCTTTCCGTGTAAGTGGCACAACAGCATTTTCGTTTCAGTCCACGTTGCCTCCAGAGAATTCACTTCCAACGGCATCAACCTACACGGAATATCCGTCGCGTTCTCCGTGACTTTTGCGATCGTCCCATTCCGTTCTGGCGGTCCCAGGGGAATCCCCGTTCGATGCATGTAAGCCTACGCCGCGTCCCCATGGCCGTACCGTGCCACATAAATAAATAAATAAATGGATTTACGGGGGCTCGTGCACCGACTCCTCTCGTAACGGTTCGCTGAAACGGAAGGGAAGGAAAGATGGCCCTCGTGCAATGCTCAAACAATGCAAATATTACGACAACGACGGGGGAAGAACACAGTTGACAGTTTCATTTCTACCTTCAAGTTTATGTTGAAATATTTAAAATAAAATAGAAATGATCTTTAAATGAATTTATTGAAAATGTGGAAGAACATTAAGGACATCGGTGAATTGAGATGGAAGTTGATTGGGACTTTGGGAAATTGGGACCTTGGGAGTTTGGGACTTATGAAGATTGGGACTTAAGAAGATTGGGACTTAGGGAGATTGGGACCTTGGGAGATTGGGACTTAGGTGGCACCTTGGGAGATTGGCACCTTGGGAGATTGGGACTTAGGGAGATTGGGACTTAGGGAGATTGGGACCTTGGGAGATTGGGACTTAGGGAGATTGGGACCTTGGGAGTTTGGGACTTTGGAAGATTGGCACCTTGGGAGATTGGGACTTAGGGAGATTGGGACCTTGGGAGATTGGGGGAGATTGGGAACTAGGGAGATTGGGAACTAGGGAGATTGGGAACTAGGGAGATTGGGAACTAGGGAGATTGGGAACTAGGGAGATTGGGAACTAGGGAGATTGGGAACTAGGGAGATTGGGAACTAGGGAGATTGGGAACTAGGGAGATTGGGAACTAGGGAGATTGGGAACTAGGGAGATTGGGACCTTGAGAGATTGGGACTTAGGGAGATTGGGATCTTGGGAGATTGGGGCCTAGGGAGATTGGGACCTTGGGAGATTGGGACTTAGGGAGATTGGGACCTTGGGAGATTGGGACCTTGGGAAATTGAGGCCTTGGAAAATAGGGACCTTGCAATATTGGGACTTTGGGAAATTGGGGCCTTGCAATATGGGGACTTTGGGAAATTGGGACCTTGAGAAATTGGGACTGTGGAAAATTGGTTATAGATTTGGTCAAGTTAAACGAAAAGGAAGCCCCCATCGCAGCCAGTTAGAGCCATCGATCAGACAAAGTCGAAACCTGGAGAAAGGGAGATCGAACGAGTGGCAATTCGCAGTACTCGGTTCTGTTGAGAAAATTGCTTTTGCCACACAGGGGCTAAACTTTGCCCCTGCAGGAGAAAATGTATTTCCGGATGTGTACCAAATGGTCTCCATTCACTCGTGGACCATTGTTAGAGTCAATGTACTCTTCTCACACTTTTACCCTTACTTGTTACGAACACGGAGAATCTATAGTAACCTTGTCATTGAATATTATTGAAATTATTCTTTTATAATAACTTTAATAATTATTCAAATTATTCCTCTTCTTGCAAGTTCACAATATGTAGTCTGATAACGTTCAAATTTAAAGTAACTAGACACTTGTTAACACGTTGAGTGCTACGGTAGTCATCGTTGACTGACACTGTACACTTAGGCAGCGTCATCATTGACCGAGAGTGTACAATATAATATAAACCTAAGAAATTGACAAAAGAATTGTTTCAACTACTCAAAACCTAATTATTTCGTTAATTTTTAATTATGAGAGGATTGTATCATAACTGTACTTAAATATATTTAAATATTTTAAATAAAATAATAATATTTTAAACATAAAATTTTAATAGGCTTCATTTTATCCTCCAGTGAATTTCCTTATGAGTTCCTATTATTATAACGATCAATTTTATTATATCATTTTGTAACAACAATCGAGCAGAACGAAGATAAATATGGATTAACAACCGTGAGTCGAAATATGAGAAATAGAGAAAGTCCGCGAGATACAGCTAATTCGGACCCTTGTAATTCGAATTGAATTTGCAAGCACGGAGAGGTAGAAATGGACACACGGACAGCGGGGCTTGGTTTGCGGATGAATAATGGAAGTTTCAATGAAATTTTCCAGTTCGCCGCGGGGCACCGTAATATTAGCTTACCGCCACCACGGCTCCGACAACTGCAGCCCCATAGACGGGTCCCGCGCGGGGGTTGTCCACCCCATGCTACGATTTTATAGAGACGAGCTTCTCGCCTCAGAGAACGCAAAGAGTCGATTGTCGAGCAGAATCAGGCTTGGGAAAGCGGACAAAGAACGGGCGAGGAAATAAATTTTAGATTCGGGGGCTGGGAAAGGAGGGTGTTTATTAAAATCCTTTGGATTTCGGGTGGTTGTTTATTTATTAGAGTAATTTTTAAATTTACTTTCGGAATTTCTAATTTTCCACACTCCCAATTTTATATTTTTTCAATTTTCCACTTTTCCAATTTCCCATTTTTCCAATTTCCCACTTTTCCATATTTCCCACCCTTCCAATTTCCCACTTTTCCATATTTCCCACTCTTCCAATTTCCCACTTTCCCAATTTTCCAAGGTCCTAATTTCCCAAGGTTCCAATTTCCCCAGGGTGCCAATTTCCCAGGGTCCCAATTTCCTAAGGTCCCAATTTTCCAAGGTCCCAATCTCCCAAGGTCCCAATCTGCCAAGGTCCCAATCTCCCAAGGTCCCAATCTCCCAAGGTCCCAATTTCCCAAGATTCCAATTTCCCAAAGTCCCAATTCTCCAAGGTCTCAATTTCCCAAGGACCCAATTTCCCAACGTCCCAATCTCCCAAGGTCCCAATCTCCCAAGGTCCCAATCTCCCAAGGTCCCAATCTCCAAAAGTCCCAAATTTCCAAAAGTCCCAATTTTCCAAAGTCCCAAATTTTCTAAAATCCCATTTTCCCAATTTTCCCATTTGCCAATCCTCAATTCCTGAATTTCTCCCTTCTTTCCCTTTCTCAATTATATCTTTCACAATATTATTTATCAACTTAAAAGTTTTCAAATTATCCACGTCCTTAATTTTTTAATTTTCCTTAATTTTCCCAAGTTAACCTAATACCCTATTTTCGCTCGTTAACTAGTATACCCATAAAGAATCAATGCCTCCATAAAGAGTTTGAAGGTGGTAAATTTAATAGTCGATCTAGGAATTTCATCGAGGTACAAAGTTCCAAAGGAGAATATCGTGGAAAGTTTTCTGGAAATCCAGGGAAAGCGGTTGATCCTATAACGAGGAGGCAACGGTTTACTCCAAGCGAGGAAGTCGTAGGTGCTTCAGAAAAAAGGGTGTTCGTGAAAAACTCCACGTTGGGAGTCAGCAGCAAATACACGTAACTTTTCTTATGAATCCCTACGGACACCGTAGCGTCCGAGGGTAAGAAGTAAGGAGAAACTGGCTGATCGAACTTTTTCCCCTTCTTTCTCGCTGGTGAACGTTCTTCTTGTATGTTCGTTTGCTGTGCACGTTCTTTGTAATATTTTCATACTTATGATTTTGTGTGAGAAGTATAGAGTACGTTTCATATATGTACATTTTATGATTTTATAATTTTTAAGTTTTTGGATTCACAGTTCGCCTTTTTTTATTTTTTCAATTTATCAATTTTTGAATTTTCCTGTTTTCCAATTTTCCAATTTTCTACTCTTCCAATTTCCCACTTTTCCCATTTCCATCTTTTTCAATTTTCCACTCTTCCAATTTCCATCTTCTCCAATATTCCATTCTTCCAATTTCCCACTTTTCTAAATCCCACTTTCCCATTTTTCCATTTTCTAATTTCCCACTTTTCCCATTTTCCAATTTTTCAATTTCCCACTTTTCAAATTTCCATCTTTTCCAATTTTCCACTCTTCCAATTTCCCACTTTCCCATTTTTCCATTTTCCAATTTCCCAATTTCCCACTTTTCACATTTCCATCTTTTCCAATTTTCCAATTTTCCACTCTTCCCATTTCCCATTTTT